GAGGCTATCACTGACAAATTTAAGGAGGCAAAGAGTAAATGGAAAAACCTGAGTGAATATGGAGGTAAAATAAAGGAATGTAAAAAAGAAAAATAAAGAGAAATGAAGTTATTTTATTATTGGTGGTAGAGCAGAATAAATTCTGCATCAGTCTATAAGTTATTGATCCTGATTTAAAAGTTAAAAGATCAACAGGCAGATATACACATGCAGACAATCAAATTTGGATTAGAAATCTGAAAGAAGTTATTATGCACTGCACTACAGGTCTTTTAAGACACTTTTAACCTAATGGAATGACATAATTATCAAAGGTTTTTAAAGAAAACAACCAGAAGTTTCTTAATTTGCAGATTCTCTTGAAGAGAGAAAGGCATGTAGGACAAATGCTGAGTTACAAACCACAGAGGGATCTGAAGAAGATTGGTTTCATGTGATCATCTGCATCAGGGAATTCTACTCAGCAATGACAGTTTTCATTGTAAATAGAATTTAAGAATAGTTGAATCTGAGTATTTAGTCATCACACTGTCCACTAATGTACAGATTCACAAAGACATACACAAAAAGCTCATTAACCAAGTGATTCTGTAGATAAGCCAAGACCTTTATATCCAGATGTCATCAAATACCAGGCCCAATTCAAATGATACGGGTGTCAACCCTTGCCCTTAACTGGGCCTTTTGCAAACATTCTATGCAACTTCATTATCATCATCTATTTGTCAGCAAAAGGAAAAAGAGGATAAACCAGAATGAAGTCCCCATACTCATAGCAATACATTTCTGCTTGTACAGAGCTCCACTGGTCTAGATCTGTAAGAAAGATGAGATGCAGCAAGAAATCCAAGAAGCTACTCAATGGTGAGCTGTATGCAATGAGATGCTGGAAGCAGGACGAGTGACAGAGCTAACATAAGGGCACAGAGGAGTCCAACTTTGACAGGTGTTGCAGAACTCTGGAACTCTAGGAAAGAGCAGCAGATGGACCAAACCGATGCATACCCATCAGGAAGAAGTAGCTGATTCTGAGCAATGGTGTTGGTCGATTATGAGGTGGAGAGACATTGTGGCATACAGTGACAGGCCCTGCAAACTGTGGTTACAGCCACAAACCAAAGGACAGTCTTCAAATGTATACAGTGCTGAGAGGACCATTGCTACGTATCATTGGCTTTAAGGACACCCATGTTTACAGAGCGCTGCACTGTTAGTGTTGCCATCTACAAGTATTTGTTTTACTAGAAATGTATTAAAAATGGAATGACTATTTCAATAATTTTAGACCTAAAAATCCTATTTTGAAAACACCAGTGAATTCTAATAGGAAAACTTGTTTTGGGGTGCATATAGCTGTTTTTACTGTACAGTGCTTCTGTGGTAGTAGCTATGCCTCATTAAGACTCCCATTTATTTTTAAGCCATTACCGTCTTTCCATTACATGGTGTATCCCTCTGAGTTTACAGACATAGAGTTAGAGATAATATTTGATTTTTAAATATAGGACAAAATTAGGAAATGGCTCAAAAGGTCCACACTAGGAAGTCCACATTGCCTTGGAAAGAGAAAACAGTGAACTTAAGAAGCTTTTTAAAAAGAAAAATTGTAAAACAATCCCTTAGGATGACTGTGAGCTTGGGAAGGGAAATGCTGTGGTTATAACTAAATGCTGAAGTTTTTTTAAAAATGAAAAATGAAAAGACTTTTAGAAATAAAATGAATTTATGTTGGGTCTCACTTTTTAAAGTCAATTTTCTTGACATTTGTTGAATTAGATGAGAGAAACAGCCTAAATTATAGCATAGAAACTTCCATGTAAAACGTACAGAAGAACATCTTGACTCTTGAGTTGTTGAAAGTTCTTGAATAAGACTAGTCACCAAGAGAAGATGTGGAGCTCAGATGAACAGTAGGCATTCAATAAATAACTGCTGAATGAAAAAACTGAGGTAGCCTACATACAGTTCAAGAATAACACATAGATTGGGGCCTTATGAAAACCAAAGGCCATTCTGAATGAAAACTAACAAGGAGAGTTCAAAGAAAATGGGTCTTCTCCAAATTCTGGCTTTCTAGGCACTCTAGGTTCCCTGAATGTGAAGGACTACTCATCTACTATGCCTAATACTTCCTCCTTAAGAGCAGTTGGCCCAACTTTTTTCCCCCTGAAAAGGCCAGCAAGAGGTATTCTGCTGTTGGTTTTCATTTCTTCCTGTGTCTAGGTCACCACGATGTGTTAATATCCTCCCCCCGCTGTTTCTTTATAGTAGAGAGGGTGCAGAACTGTCACTGCGAGGTTGGTCCTTGGGGATTGGACAGAATGTGCACTGCACTGGCATGGAAGCATGTACTATGGTATTCCAGGGATCATATGCCACCATGAAACAATGTAAGTCTAGGTGTTGTTGTTAGGTGGGACAGCCACCAGGAATGGATGGAGCATGTGACTGCATGCAGGAGCATGCTAGGGGAATATGCCTTTAAGAATATGTTCAGAAGTCTGGTGTTTCACCCTGTTAACAAAGTTGTATACAGAAGGGAAAGGGCTGGAAAGTATATGTGGAAGAAAGACAGTAAATTTCGTAGGTAGGATGTGGCTTTGTAGAGAGGGTGTGGCTCTCTATATAGAGAGGTTATATAACTGATGGTCTTTTTGAGTTCCTACAGCTTAGATATAAAGGTAAATTTGGCTTCTAACACAGCTGGTCAGTAAACATTCTCTACCAAGCTACCCAGAGCTATAGCAAACTCTGAGGTAAAGAGAAAAGAGCATAGTCATACAAATGCAGAAATCAATTAGGGTCTTTCTGAAGGATTGTGTCCTGATTAATGAAGAGATTCCCATATAAGCATATCACCAACACAATAAATACATTAAAAATATTTATGACAGTTTTATATACCACCTGTCTTGGAGTCAGAATGATGACCTGGGTGATTTTTTAAAGTGCCTTCTAGTCTGACAGGTTTCCAACATCATTCAATATTAAAAAAGGTCAGCCACCAAAAAGCTGTGTGGGTCTTACAGAGAATGATGCCTGATGTGTTATATCTGTGACTCTGCGGCCACACCCACGCAAGGAAAATTAAGCAGAAACTTCAATAACTTATTCATTGAATTCAAAGAAATAAACCAAAACACTTTGGGGTCAGTAATCAACTGGACATTTCTTTCCATCTCAATATTATATTTAATTTCTCTAACATTTGGTGTGTGTAGTCTCAGCACGGAACCATAAAGACAAATAACTATCTCAATTTGTGAAATCCCAGAGGCAAAATGAAGCCAATATCATTGTTGTAATTTGGAGAGAACTATGTTCTGAGAGGTGCTGATATAATTTTATTTCATCAAAAAATATTATAAACTATAAGGTAGGACTGACAGGCATTCTGTTTTTATGTTGACATTTACATACATTAATAGCGATCATCCTAAACCAAAACTTAGTAAAGAGTCAAATTCAGGTGAGAAAGACCACTTATTAAAACCTTGCTTGTGATCACCAAGGAATATGTTTATTAGGATGAACTGCACATGGTGAGGTGCTGCTATTCTAATACTATTCAGCTGTTTAAAGATTCAGTCTTTCCAGTGGATAATGCACAGGTTTATTTCCCCTGATTCTTGCTCAAGAGAATATAAACATTTTGCTTGGCTGAAAGAGCTAATGAATCCAAAATACTTTCAAAGATGATGCTTTCTGAATCACTGAGAAAGCTAAATGGCATATCTGCTTATTTGGTTTAAAAAAATCTCTTTATCTAATGCGGCGGGCATCAGTGATTCAAAAAATTCTATTCAAATTTTAGCTCAGGAAAAGAGCGAGATGAATAGACCTACTAAATAAAATCCTTGACACAGCTATCCACCTTTCCACTGTAAAAGAAAAAAAATGACTGACTACCTCTAGCAGAGTTAGGTCAGTGCACTAAAATATAAATAGAGAGCACACTTTAATATAATAGAGTCAGCTGTTCTATTCAACCAAAGAGGGAAAAGTCAGCATAGGTGACTGGTAACTTGTGGTCTGCAGGCATTTTTATTTCCTAAATTGCTTATCTGTCTCCTTGACCTGAGAGTTTCCAGGTTCTTTATTCTAAACATGAATACAGTTCTCCAAAATTGTGTCTTACTAATGCCACCTACAAAATGAAAGCCCATGTTGATACTATTAGGTATATAATCTTTCCAAATAATGTTTAATTATCTGACAAATCATTTCTCTGAATTTGTTTTATGCTTATTTTTCTTTAATACATCTTTAATACTTTTTAAACATCCTATTGTTACCATTCTTTTTTGGAATGGCTTCTAGACAAGTGGCCAGTAGAAATTGTAGTTACACAGCCGAATTACAAAATTGAGAACACAAAACTGTGAAAGAAACTGAAGCAAAATACTTCTAAAACAGCCATGAGACCAAAAAGAAGTCAAAGTATGTTTAGTATGTATGTGCAGAGGCAGTGAGATGTTCATAGAAATGCTGGCAATGACTCATTTATATTTCTAAAAGAACCTAGGCAACTCAAGTGAATGGAGGTCAAGAATATATTAGGAAAGGGCACAAAAACCTAGGATAAAAAGGCTGCCAAATGTTGAAACTCACTGAGACCCTTAAAGGTTTTAAAAAATAGTCCTTTTCATACTCTATTCTTGAACATAAGCTGTTTTCTAGACATAGATACACATTTTATATTACCTTCTGACTGAACATTTACAATTTGATATTATGTCCCCAGACTGTAATTACTAGTTTAAAATCACAATGTGCTTGAATATCCTACATTTGTCTCTATTTCAAAACAGAGAAAAGAATGTGAAAAAATTGACAAAATCAATACATATAATCAAAATAATAGTGTACATATAAAAAGAAAATTATTTTTGATTTTTAGAATAGGCCTACTTCCCAAACTTGTTAGTTATTTGAAACAATTATTTTTCTGATTTATATGGAACTCTAATCAGGATTTTCCATTTCTGATTTGATCATACCTTTCACATCTTCATCCTCAATTGTTGTATTTGAACTCTCAGTTGACTCCTGTTGAGAAGAAAACGTGTTAAGTTGCAAACAATGGAAAACTTCACTTTCTTCTTCTTAAAATTGGCAAGTGATATACATGTCATGCAAAATTCATCAGCAAGCTGTGTACATATATTGACATGCAGATGGACAAATACATTATGTGATTTTAATGGAAATAAAATGCCAAATGCTGCAAACATTTCAAAAAGGAGTACTCTGGTGGCCTACTCTGAAGCATGATAAATCTAGGTTATTTGTAGAAGCACCAAAGTATGCAACTTATTTTAAGAGCTGTGTGTGGCCGTATTTGGTTACAGTGCCCCATAAGGTGTGTTTTTTCTATATATTTATCATAAATTGAATATACTAGCCTAATGAATTTGACCCTAAAATAGAACACTTTCTCTTCCCAATTAATCAGTAAATAACCCCTTCTTTGTTTAAGGCACTGTATTAGGCACTGAATTCACAGCCTATTCGTCTTATTCCTGTGTAGAGACAGAAAGCATTTCATTGCATCATTTGATGAGGAAGCTAGGGGTACTAAGCTGAATTATGCTGAAATTGCTTTTAACAAGAATTTCCATGTTTGTGATAAGCGCAGTGGAATTATATGAATAATTTACTTTCAAGGACAATTAGATTTTTCATCCATTTCTTAATTAGAAACTGGCTGTTATTGATAAGAAACCTGCTCCCATAATGGGAAGACAAAGCTATTTCTTTGTAAAACTACAAATGAAGTTGAAGATTCATAAGCACACTTAAAAGGACACTGTAACTGCCAGTATTAAGATACAGTTTTTTTAAAATGATTTGATAAATTTTTCCACTAATAATGTGCTAACAAAATATTTTCTAGCAAAGAAATTTAGTGGTATTCATAAGAAAAACACAGTTTTCTACTTGTAATGATTAAAGGCTAGAGCTGAAAGAAATTGGAAACAAACTTTCAATCCAGAGCTATGTGCTCAGTGATGAAAAACAGATTTTGGAAAATGATGCAAATACCAATCAGTGTCCTTGTAGAGGTTCAAAAATCAAAAAAGCAATCAATTTATATAAATATCATATGTAATATTTAAGCCAAAGGGACAGACTAATTAAATGTGTATCCAGAGTCTCTCCATACACACAAAACCAAAGCAGAGAGTCTTCATGCGTTTCTTAATGCGACCTAGTGTTCAAATTTAAACTCAAGATGAAGGTAAACCCATGCACTGTGAAAGTAAACTAATTCATTGTAAGCAAGAAATATCATGCAGCAACTCTTACAAATGATATAGCTAGAACTATTGAAGTATCCACTCCAGCTGTTATGCTTGGTCTTTCATTTGCTAACGATATTAAAAAAATTGTTCTCCTACACGATGCTCCTGAGTACTACAAGTCTTTTAGGAACTTAAAATATTTTAAATGTCATGACCATAAAATACATCTCATATTAAAGAATACTTGATTTTTTATTTTACTGATTTTAATATTGAACTAAATGTTAAACCAGAGGAAATGTGTTTTCTAAGATGTAAACATTGTTGATAAGAGTAAGGAGAAATTAGACCCATGACTATATTTGATATTTGAGAAAAATCTGATGAAATATTTTTTCCTTCCCTTAGAGATACAATAAAATATGAGAATTAGTAAATTGGAAACATGGAATATGTTCAGAAAATGTCTTCTTTCATCCTATAGCATGTATACAAGTACTATTATTTAGTTAACATGATACACAAACAATCTACAACAGACAGAAAACATTCCAGTCTTCTTTCAGCCTAAGTGGTTAAATATCTGTTACTGAAATGCATATAATTCAACAAAAACAAACATTTCATAAGAATTGAAACTCCCTGATTATCCTCAATTTCATGCCAAACAACAAAAACAACAGGGAATTAACAGAAAAAGCACTATGACAACAGAATAAATAAAACTCAAAAGCAACGTTAAATTTAAACACCTATGAACTCAAGTTGATTTTTTTGAAGACACTGAAATGATATAGCAAGAAATTCTAAAATTTCATGCAGAATATAATGAAAGCACAATGCACAGACAGACATGGAGAAGAAAAAAAAAAAGGACCAGATGGAATTGCTTAAGATACACAGTCATCTTGACATAAAGACTTTGCTTAACCCGACTTTTACTGGCCATTCATTTCTCTTTCAAGATGTCATTCATTTTTGTTTTGAAAGAAATATGTGTACAATTCTAGATAAATTAGGTCCCCCCCAAAAAAGTGTGGTAGAAAAAGGGTAAGAATTTTCTTTCCCATGTTTAGATAATGAATTAATTTTGCTTTAGATATTTGATGAAATGTGTAATCTTGTTAAAGCAAGATGATGTTGATTCTTTCTGAATACCTTGTTTCCATCAGGGTTGTGGATTACAGTAGTTTGGGGCTCCTGAGTGAGAACAAAATAGAGAAAGAAACAGTTCGCATTGGTAAGTACATTCTTACTAGTGTGAGGGACAGAGCAGAGTGAGCCAGCTGACAAAACTAAATAGTGACCAGAGCTTAAGCGATGTTAACCACTGTCAGAGGTAGCAGCTGACAAGATCACTGATGAAAGATCTCCCTGATGAGCCCATGAGATAGGATACCTCAGTACCCAGCAGCAGCATGCAAAAGACCTTATTCGTGATCAGTAAACAGACAAGGCTTTGAAGTCTGGAGACCTAAAGAGGCACTCACTGTTTCACAAAGTTCTGTAGCAGAACTTCCTTTTCTTTAGTGAGTAGGCTGTTAACGTGCGTCCTATAGAAAACGGACCAAGGACCCTAGAGATTAGAACTCTTTAAAATGATCTTGAATCCTTTGTGAGGATTTTTTTTCCCGGTGTATCTCTGAGAATGGATTATGGTGTCATCACTATAGTTAGTAGTGTATAGTTTATACACAGATAAATACTCTGAAAAATCTAGAACACTGTGCCTTGCTTAAAAAAAAAAAAAAAGGCTATCCTAAAGAATGTATTTCAAAAGTCCATAAGCAATTCTATGGAATACTGAAAAGGTTCATTTAAAGGATTCTAGAACTAATCATATAATCACTATAATCTACTAAATGCTATGTTAATTCATACCTAAAAATAAATTTCAGCTTTATGGACTACATATACAGATTTGCTTGTAAAGTCATGCTTTTCCATGAAGAAAATATTATTATTCCTTTCTGCTTTCCACCAGAGAATTGAAGAAATATTCCCAAGTGGAAAATAACACTCAAATGACTGATGTAAAAAAGATTCAGTGTCCATTGGCATGCTTGGCACTTTCATTGCATGATGTCTTGGTAACCGAGTTACTGCAGCTCACTGAAAATTTTCTCCAACTATAAGCACTCTGTCCTCTAGGATCTCCTCTTCACCACAGTTTATGCTATAACAGTTAGAGAACACATTTACTGCTTCCCTTATTCCTTTCCCTGGCTAGAGGTGTGATTGACATTGTTTTTTACTCATAGATAACTTGCTATCTTGATATGTCCTTTTTCCTTTAAATGTTTTAAACTGAACCTTCTGGTTAACCCAAGTGAAATAATTTCCCTTAGTATTTTTTTTATTCATTTAAAATAACAGTACAGAGTACAGTAAAAAATCAGAAATATTTCAGAAAACCTGTATCAAAATATGTAATAGTTTGAGCAAACCATTACGGAACTCAGAGTACTGAATGCCAGTATTCAAATCTTGACTTTTAACATAACACTATCGCAAAGTGTTAAAATGATTTAGTTGTAAATAGTGTGAATTTGATTAAAATGGGCAAAACTGGCTTCCACTGATAATTCAAAGCTTATGCTATACATTTCATTCTTTGGATTAAAGTGAAACAGTGATCATTTAAAACACAACAAACAAAAAGCTCAAAATTACCCAATGCCTCTTCATCTCAAAAAGTGAGGTCTTACAAAGCCCTGCTGTCTTTTAATAAGAAGAAATGGGAACTCTGAATAAGGTCTACATTTACTGTTGTCTAGCAATCATCCCCTTAGCTCTCCTTGATGTCAGCATTTCCATCATGAAAGGAGGAAACCATTGTTTGCATAATCTAGAGCTACCATCAGAAGAGCTAGGAGCAACCAAAGCGCATTCTACTGTATTTCTAAAGCAGCATGCAACAATTTCAACTACAGAGACCACAGCTATCAGAATAATGTTCAACAATGAAATGAGATCATCTCATGTTAGAAGCACACTGCTTGGCAACTACCTTAACAAAAAGAAAAAAGAAATGAACTTTTCTTATATCTTTGAAAGCAAAACAAAACCCAACAAAACAAAATACTTATACATGTATCTGTATAGTGAAAGCAAATGAGAGAAACAACAAAAAACAATGAAGAACTTAAGAAGGGTTACAGAGTCCAGGTATACCAGCGCTGGGGTAGGAATATTTTCTTTGGGGCTGGTTACCACGTTGGCTTTGTTGTTTATCTGTAGGTATGCAGAAAATAGAAACAGAGATGCCTTAAACCCCTTGGTAGCCGATGTCTCTACATTGCAGCATGTCTATGTGGAGATATAGACATGAAAATAAAGATCCACTGAGGATGAACGTGAAAGACACCGTGATGTCTGACAGGAATGATAATCAATTCTAGTCTCCGGTGGTCACACATAGACTAGGACTGTGTCTGTGACAGTGGGTTGATAAAACAGCCTTCACTGCTTTGGCTGTGCCACACTGGCCAACAAAGAACTGCTTCAGTGGAGCTCAAATTAAGTTTCAGAGTATGAAATAAATATAAACATTTTCATACTCTTCAAGTTGGATTCTGTTCCCAGCTTCCAGTTGTTTTCTGTTATGAATACATTCCTTTTTTTTTTTCATTTTATTCTTGATCCTGAAGTCACACATAGACCGTCCTTCTCTGGGAAGCCATTGTCGCTTTGCTTAGTAGGTCAAAACTCAGATCTTCAAAACTTAGATCTTCTGATGAAATGCAGGCTTTATAATATATTTTTAAAATGGTAAGTCTGGGCCTCCTTTAAAAAACACATGTTGTTTTTTGCCCAATTGTAAATGGGCAAACTGAATTCTTTACTATATTCTGAATGTAAAAAGACTTTTTTCACAATTGTTTGAGAGGAAAACACTGTTTTCTGTCAAAGTGTTACTACTTTGCTTTTCTTTCAAAGTGCTACTGTTGAAGATTGCGTTTGGTAATATTCATTTGCTTTAACATATTGGGGTTGACCTTAAAGAAAGATCATATCACAGTGGAAGCCACATAATGGGTCCATAGAGAAAACTCTTTGTAGACAAGTGGCAACTTGAAATCACAAATGAGTTTGGGCACTAAAGAATCAAAAACTAAACAGTAATAATCAACATTCATTTAAACTCATGCATGATAACTTACATTATGGTTACCAAATGGAGCTATAAATTAACATTCATTCTTTTGTACTACATTATCTAGGTATTTTCTTTACATATTATTATCTAAAGGAACATATCCCATAATTTTAGTATAAATGTTCTTAAGGGTCTCAAAGAGAAAAATATACTGCATAAAATAGATAAATACCAAATGAGTTTATAAGCAATTACACTAATTTTATTGGGACTTTCTGGGAGGTTTTTTTTTTTTTCTTTTGTATTTTATACCTGAAGATCATATTGAAACCAGGACTGGGAAGAACATAGAAGGTTAAAGAAATTAATATAGGCATGTAATATTTTGCTTTTCTATTCATTCACATTTGTATGATTGTTTGGTATCAGTATTATTTAATTAAGCTATATAACACTAAGCTCTGTGACATGAAGAAAAAGAGAAAACTTCTGGTGCCCTTTACTGAAAAACTCTTTAAATGTTAAACCATCAATCTCTATTTTGCAGATGGTCTAAAATTTTTTCTTTAAATAAAAGTGTACAGAATTTAACATCAAATTTGTGCAATAGCCAGAAAGAGATAAGAGGTAATGGAATCTATTAAAAAGGGATCAAAATTTAGTACTTATGTTAGTATGAAATACATAATAAAAGAGGAGGGATGCACACAAATAATTTCCTATCAGGAAGAGTGCGCGGCAAAACACAGCTGACTTCTTATCAAATGATCAGAGGTACTTATAATGAAAGCACCACATATATTTATTATGTTATATTCAGTTTATATCAGCGGATACAAAAGTAAAAGAGGAATATACTGAGATACTTTTACTTCAGTTTTGAGAGAAGAGACTTGATTATTTTCTAGAATGGTTGTGAAGAACTGATTTCTTTCAGTGAAAATGTCACACATGCACACCTATGCACACATACTTCTCCGCACAAATGTGTGCACACACATGCAACACACACCCCTACACACGTTCACACATAGGTACACAGCGTACACACACCACCAGGTCTTCCGATTGAGGGCCATTCTGCCTGGATGAGCCATGCTTTATTGTCAGGCATGGCAAATAGGAGTTAAATGAATATGAGACTCAACCACCACTTTTAGTTGTGTTTAAATGTACAGTTACAAACTTTTTAAGTCAATGTAAAGATAAGCTTAATGATCTTTTATTACTATGGGAAGTCTTTTGAAGGTACTTGCAATATTAATTAGTTGAAAAATAATAGGAGAATTTCTAAGTAAAAGACTAGGAGGACGTCTTTTTTATTAAAGAGTCAAATGTTAAGTAGGAGTTAAACTATAAGCTGTCTCTTAAACATATAAGAACTCTGGCACTTTTGTTTATGAAATGTAGTTATTTTATGTTATAGAAGCTATTTTTCTTTAACAAAACTAAATCAAACCAGATATTTAAGTGATTCACTGAATTATTGTTATGAGGCATGGGCAAGATATTTTTATTTCTCAGGTGTTTTTATTCAGTTTTGAGGTTAATAAATGTTTCTTCTATAAGGTGCTTAACTAGGATGGGTCCATTGTACGCTCACTTTCACACTATTTATAAACTTCATGGTAGATGCATTATAGTGTATCTGAACTAAAAATAACTATTTTAGTAATCATGATCATCACTTAAAAATAATCCTAGAGTATTCCTTCACTTATCATTAAACAGACATTAACTATGTCATGATCTCTTCAGTTTCAAGAGAAAACTGGACTCTGGTCTTATAAAAGATCCTTTAATAGCATATGGATAAAGGTATAAAGCATATTTTAAAAATTCAATTTCAAAGATAAACAGAAACAGTATTATGTGAATGTGGGTACCATGTTTTGATGTCAATTGACACTGACGTGTAATGGTCCTACACTTTCTACACTTACACTAACTTAGGTAAATAAGACTGTTTTTATTCCTAAGTGTGAATTTTCACAGGAGGAGAAATCTGGCAGATAGAGATCCTCACCATCATCTGAACACTCGAACTGGACTTCCTTTTCTGAATTGACCAGTCAAAGAGAAAGGAAAAGAAAAAAATATGACCGGTTGAATTTTTAAAGCATCAAAGCATGGAGCACAGAATAAATTTCTCTTTAAAGAGAAGCTATAAGTCGTCTAGAAGGAAAAAAGTTCTGGAAATGTTTCTTTCTATATAAGGATAGTAGTAAAAATAAATATCTCTATAGGAATTGTGACCTCTGCATCACTGAAAGGTACAGAAAAACACAGAATGAAACATTTGGAAAATTTAAAATATCACATTTCCACCAATGTAATATTGGGAAAAAGGCAACATCAACTGTCATTAATGAAACTGAAACTGAATGAACTAAGCAGAAGGAAGAGAACATTACAGGTTGAGGAAAGAAATTGGTAAAAGGCAAATGCCATTCTAATGGGAATCACAAGTGCATGGTAACCACAGCTCTGGAAATTCCCAAATCACACATAAATCGGAGGTGAAGAAATGACTGGGCATGAGCATAAGTGATGCATGATTTTCTATGTTATATTTTCAAAATGAACTGACCACCTGACTTTGGCTCAAGTTCAAATGTTAGAATATTAACTAATTCCCAAGAATGTTGAAGTGTTCATGAGGAATGTATGCATCTGCCATTGGAAGAGAAAGAAAAGGATTAAAGAGACAAAATACTTAGGTAATACTCCGGAAAGATAACAAACATAATACAAATATAAGGTTACATTCAAACAAAGATAAATTCCCATGAAACAAAATAAAATCAATAGAAAGTAAGTTGTATTACTTTGTTTAGAAATCCAAGAAAGCCAAAATATCCTGTTGTTATCTTTTTTGGAAAATTTTTCTATAATTTTTCAGAATATTCACCTTGAGTATGTCTTAATACTTTATAAGAGAAGCACAGGAACAATTAAGACCTTTATAAAAACTGCCCAAGCAGAGAAATTTAATCATTTGACATTTAATTTCCCAGACCCTATGATTTTATTTTATTTTGTTTTCCAGGTTATACATTTCAGCAGACTTCAAGAACCTAGCATAACTAGTTGCAAAGCATTTGGTTTTCATTGATTTTCAGGTCACTATGATAGTTTGGGACTGTAGTAAAGCAGAGAGGATTTAGACATTCATTTTCTACAACAACTTCATATAAAAGCATTATTTTGTCAGATTATTTAGTATATAATAAAACAGAAAAATATACTTTTTCTTGACATACATATCAGTCATCTTTACATATTAATTATTTTATACTTCAACCTGTCTCCTTTAGAGGAACTATAAAAAATACAAGCTGTGAAAACTCACAATTTATATTTAACATTTGAAATGATCCAGCATCTGAAAGTCAGAAGTGATTTTAGGAGCACCTGTTTAACTTACCTTTACTCCATCTGGTTTCTTCAACAAACTCTTGGCTGCTGCAAAATGAGAGTAAAATCATTTCAGTGAGTTATCCACAGAAACTGATGCCAGGCAACAAATCAGGTTATTGTTTCCTTCTATCACCTTTACTGAGTTATGGCCAACATATGCCAAATTACCAAGGTCACACTAATGAGCGCGAGCTTACGGGACATAGAAATACAGTATCGCTTTTCTTGGTTTTGCCACATCAAATTTAGCACTAAATTCTTATTCAGTTCATTGCATAAATTGAACACTTTGCCTGTTATGTTATTGGACTTTATTTCACTGTTGGTTGCGAAAAGGATACTGGAACTTTAACTGGACTATGCTTTTGTAATCCAGAAAGTTGCTTTCAGTCTTCAGACATCAGCTGACAGATTGTATTACATGTTCATTCATACCACAAGTATGGTGACCATGTCAGTTCTGCCACTTAAGCCCCTCTTTCTGAAGGTTTGAAATTTATTTGTGAAAATTTGCTCTGGCTAAGTAACATCCTTTTAAAATAAATAAATATATATATATTTGAAATCAAGAGCTTTCATCTTTACAAAAAATAGTATTAACTGTATTTAAAATGAAAGGGCATATTATTGGCCAAGAGCAAATTTCTTAAACAATTAGCATAGGACCTTTAAAAAAAGGTACGATGTATTCTTTTATACTTCAAAATCAGAATACAAAGCTTTCATAAACAAAAGCCTTTTACATCAAAAAATTAAAAATCATAAAATTTGAGGTGAGACATAAAACAAAACAAAATCTTCAACTAATCAAAGAACCGTTGAATTATATGGTCTCATGTGAAACTTCAATTTCTCCAAGGACAGCTTTTAGCATTCTTTTTGTTACTGAGCTTCTTGAGTATATTAGAAGGTGAAGTCATCCTTTCAAAAAATATACTTAGTGAATGGGTACATTCATACACACTTAACAGATTATATAACTGCTAATGACAATCAGTACAGCAAGTGTAGAACATATATGAATATGCAGGACAAAGTATATACCTATGTTTCCATTTAATGTTTTATATATATATAATATATATGTCATATATATATATATATATACTTAAGTATATCAGAGTAGACTTTGGCATATGAAATGGAAATACCTAGCTATAATAGAACTGCATGAACATGTAATTTCCTGACATCCATTTGATTTGGGACATTATTTTGATATCACTTTGGTATAATTTTAAATTTATTTAAGATACAAAAATGTTAATTTTATTTAGTCCTTAGCAACAAAGCTATTAATTTATTATTAATTGACAATTGTAAGAATAGCTGCCTTAGCTATAGTATTTGCCTAGAGTTAAAAAGCAATATTAAGTAAATCCTGTGGCAGTTAATAGGTTAGAAAGCAAACTCAGAATAGTTGAAATTGCAATAGCAAGCAAAGAGAAGACAATGATTCAGGGTAAGCAGGGATTTGGCCTGGGAGATGCAGAAATGTCCCTTTTGGTTACTATTCACCTTACCTCACAAGAAATACATTCCACATAAAGGGAGAAAAGAAAAAAAAAACAACTTTATAACCATATACTTATGGACAAATTACCTTAAAGAGCATGTTTGCTAATGAAACAGAATGAATAAAATACTCAAAACTAAAATGCAATATCAAGTACAAGATGTTGTAACTGGGTCCAATGTTATTCAGTTGGTTTTGAAGTGATGGATTAAAAAAAAAAAGTTTGCCTTTCATGTTAGACATCAGAAACAATATAAAATTCACACATTAGTCATGAGTTTTTAGTTTACACAGTGATGAAAGGAAAAGGTGATGTACACAAAAAGCTTCTATACATGAGTGTTATAAATTTAAAAAGGCCCAATTTATGCCCAAGAGTGTATTTAAGACTAACAAAATACCCAGTCTTAATATTGGAGATTTTTTCAAGTTAGTTGATCTTTAACAATATATATTGATCATCCTATCTTTTATTGATTCACTAATTTTTGGGCCACGGTGAAATATTTATTTGAATATAGTATATATTAGCTAATATTTAATGAGATGATATTGAACTCACCCATATCAATGTCAACTATATTAATCAACTGTTCATAAAACAGGTAACTTGACAAAGGCAGTAACGACGATTTATTACACCAAACAAATTGGACAAAATACATACATTTGACTAACACAGTCCCTCAATTTGCAGCATTACTCATTGTATTCTTTGTTGCTGTTTAACAGGTCAGTGGAAGCCTTTGGAAAGCCTCCTATGGTTTCACATTATGTATAACTAAATATAATGGGGGGTAAAAGCTGACCATTTAATATAGTCATAAAAAGTAACTAAAAATTAGTTGAGAAGGTTGAAGAACATTTGATAAGGTTATGGATCATCACCTGATAGCACTATAATACCCAGGAGTTAAGTATGTACAGGGAGAAATAACTGAAGAATAGCTGGGAAATTTGATGTCTCAGATCTCTCTTATATAAATAGTAAGCTAAGTAAAGTGGTAGTATTTTTGGTAAATCATTTGATAATCCTTCCAAGTCTCAACAGCCACTTTACTAAATGCAGCTTTCTTGCTGCTTCAGTCCCTCCCCATACATAAGACTAATTAGAATTTACCAAAATTTGATTTTTGGAAACCTGGTCCTTTGTGATAATCTATTAAAGAAGGGGGTTCCAAAATTCAAGTAATTTCCGGACATAATATATATTAATTCCATTTTAGAAAGTCATCCTATAATAAAGAAATGGCTTAGCTTCTTTTATTTAAAAAATTATTTTTATCATGGAATCATTTTGAGGAACATTTACTATCCTGTGTTATTACTGTGAGGTAGGGCTCTCTGTAAATTCTTGAGTTTAGATACCTTTGAAATATGCAACCATTCCTATAGTGTGCCAAGATACAACTGTACTTTTGAAAGAACTTGGGCCTAAGAGAACTGGGTTCCTCAATAATGGTCTTCTTTTAAAAATCTTGCTTATTTGGATTCCCTATGAGAATGAAACAAACAAAAAAATCTTATTTATAGTTATTAGTTGATGAAATATCAATGAACTAATTCTAGGTTCAACATGCTGAGCTTCAAGAGGAGGCAGTACATATTTCCACAACTTGTGTGTACCCCCAGCAAGGATGACAGGTGGGTTTCAAAGGCTGCACGGCACTGACCAGGGGAGGGGCTGCTGGAGTGCTCCCGTGAAGAGTGCAGTCACGTGCCTAATGTCTCTGTGGAGACAGTACCCAGGCGGATTCCTAATGACAGGCCCTCCATGCCATATATTTGCTATCCCTAAACAACAGTGTTTTTCTAATTACTAGATTTTTCTTTAATTCCAAGATGACTACCTAAAGAGGAAAGCAGTGAATAAGGAACAGAATTCTTAACACATGTACCTGAAAAGTTCCTTGTAGCCAGCATAGTTGTCAAGATGGCACCCTGTCAGAAAAATAAGAATATGAAATTAATGTTGCTTATGCAAATCTTTGACCTGACAAATAAACAGTCTTTGATAACAAATCTTCTCCTAGCCTTACTTTCAGTCAGGAGATTTTTATTTGTCTGCTTTTGTTTTTTGTTTTTTTTTTGTTTCCTGAGAGCAGCAGGCTTATGTCTCACGTAATGCTGGGGCTGCCCTCATGTGTGTGGCCAGATTCCACTTGTCAAATTGCAGGGCTGTTTTCCTCTGAAGGGAGGAACCACAGCACACACTGCCACAGAGATCCTAGCTCTTCACTGTAGACTTAATTCCAGTGCACTATTCCATTTTCTGAAGACCCAGAAGAGTAATAAGACTACTGAGGTCTGCACATTTAAAGGCTTTTGCTGAAAAGTTATTTTCTCATATAGAATCTCATTTCTCACTCTGCCAAGTCTACCTCCCCACAAAAATGTAAAATTTCTTACCTTTAGTTTTCTTCTAGCATTAAATTTCTTTAAGCAGTCTACAGTCTCCTGTCTGTGCATCATGGAAGCAACAGTAGAACGTTGCTGGAAGAGGAAGAAAAGAAACTTAGGATATTTAAAACATACTAAGCATTATAGTATCTCAACTTCATCAAATCTGCATTAATGGTGCCTGAACCCATATGATGAACTTGTGAGTATTCACCTGCAAAAAAAGTTCCCTAATAATGGATGACTAGTTTTGCCAAGACTATTTGTAATGAAGGTGCAACATTTATCTATAGAAAGTATAGAAATGAGTATCAATAATTCCCCAAATTATCTGTATTTCAATGTCTTTAATTATATTTCTATTGGACTGTCTTTCATTTACTTAGCACCATATTTACTGCCCTAACATTTGACACTTAATCCTAGAAATATACTGAAATCTCTACATTCCCCCCAAATTTCAGTTTTTCTTAGCACATCTAAAATATATGCATGCTACTATGGCCATTCTTTCTTGCTAGTATAACTTCACTACAAGCTTCTAAACCTTATTTTTTTCCCTAAAGCTGCCTAATGATAAATAATTGAACTTTGTCTAATATTCTCTACTGGGATATAGTTAATCTTGGTGTCACTTTCTTGACCTCTGTTCATGAGTATTATCAATAACTGGTAGGGGAAATACTCATTCCTGGTATTATTGTAGGCAATATTTATCAATCTATGCAAATCAGATTGTTACCCCAATAGCAATTATCAGCATTACAAATTTATTTTCTTAAATACCTTGAGTTAAAAATGCATTAATTTTTAGTTTCATCTTTTTCTGCAAAAATTATTTTAAATCCATGAAAAATATTTTTAATTTTGCTCCTAAGGTCTTTAGAGAACTGTCACTTACACAGATCCATGGGTGTTTCAGTGCCTCTGAGGCTGTGATACGCTTGGCAGGGTTGATAGTAAGCATTTTATTGATTAGGTCTTTGGCTTCAGGAGTCACTGTGTCCCACTCTGGTGATGGAAACTTCAAAAACACAAATTTATAAAGAGTTTAAAAAACAGATACACTCAGTCAAACAGGGAAGAGCCAGGTAAACTAATCATTTTCTTAAGTGGTGAATTTCTTCATAAATTTACTTTTTGTAGAAGTTAAATTGTAACTACAAATAGATAAATTGATAGATAAATCAATGTAGATGTATATATCTCCCTCTCTTTCTATATATTAAAGAAAAGTAACCAATAAGGGATAAACACATATTCTAAATTGCATATTATACCTAGTACATACATTTTAAAATTTAGAAAAATAAACTCAAGTTTATTAAGTTTTTAAAATAAACTTCTCGTCCTCTCAAAGCATCCTTATTTTGGTTTGAAAATAAAATTTTATGCAATATTTCTCATAATTATTTGCAAACATCAATAAAGCTGACAGTCTGTCACATGTGTTGATGTCATCATGCTATTACACCAAGATTCAAAAGGAGGTATTACAGAAAAACAATGAGGTATTACGTTTTTTCACAACTCATGAGAAGTAATAGTAGAGATCATAACACAGCTTCCATTACCTGAGCCAAAACTGACTTACTACTTGTGGCTATTTGTCATAGAATACTGAGAAGAAATCTCAGCCTACAAGAGCTGAGATTCATTTTAACATCTCAGAAAAGTTAATCTACTTAATTACATATTTCATCAAAGCAAAGTTCTTAAAAGGAACCAATATTCACAACTTCTCTTAATAAGCCATTTGTGCACTAATACCTATATAATAAAGCTATTTATTCTAAGTTTCTTTTGTTGATAAAAATGCAACCTCATTTCTATATAATTTAGTAGTAGAAATACTATCCTTGATAGGTTTGGAAAAATTTACATCCCATCAGTTTCTAAACAACAGACAGACTATCAGGTCCTTTTCTCAATTCATGAATTTTTAGAGACAATCTTGGAACAAATGCTACTGTCACTGTGTCCTGGACTTTAGTTCACTTTCAGTAGTTATAAAATGGGTACTTTGCAACCCAATGGCAAAATGAAATAGGAGAAAAATGATAGTGACTCTTTAATTTCAAATTCTGCCAGTTTAACAACTGTCATTTTAATTCCAAAAGTTATTTTGGGCAGCTGTAAAAACTTGCTAATGATTAGGAGATACTGAAGAAATATTCAAGGCTGTACAGATCTTCTGACAGCAAATTGGGAGCTAGTTCAGCCTGAAGAAAGGTGGACCTTTTTCTCATTTTTTAAAATTTTAACAAAGTCACTCCTTCACATTCATCAAACAGTGCATCTGCTGAGCTATATCCCCCCAGAGGGGTGCCTCCTTGTAGTCTGTAAAGATGATGAATGTGCTAGCTGTGGCCATGTAAATCATAATTTGGTCCAATTATTAGTCTGACTAAAATGGAATGCTTCAAAATTAAAAGAATATACATTTTAAATTCTTGTGATACACACATCCATAGAACTCAACAATGCCATGTTGAGTTCATGAAACCCGATAAAATAAAATACAGACTTTTTAAATTCCTTTAACTTCCACATTGAGCTTTTAACTTGGGCACAGCAGGTGGGCCCAATATTGCCTATTTCTTAGTTACCCCACTGCATGGAGCACTGGGTGTTATATGAAAACAATGAATCGTGGAACACTATATCAAAAACTAATGATGTACTGTATGGAGACTAACATAACATAATAAAATAAAATAAAATAAAAGCAAAAAAAAAAAAAACCCCAAAAACGGAAAGCATCATCAGACCTTGAACTCTAATTTCCAGAGGGCTGGTTATGTGAGATGTACCCAGACGTGGTGGTAAATCATATTTACAGACATATTTGTCAAAGGAGACAAAATTATATCAATGAACAAAGTTAAGCCATAAAGAGAAAATAGATAAGGCCTTACTTTTTAGATTTAGGACTCAATTCATACTCATACTTTCAAATATTCTAATTGTAAATTAAATGTATTGGAATTGTGATTTTCAAACATTTTTAAATCGTGAAACCCATTCTTCAAACGAAAGCTTGCACAGAAGCCCATTATGTAAACAGGACAAAAAAAGTCAAGCTAACATAATGGAACAATGTTCTATTTGATACATGGATCACTGCAAAGTATTATTGACATATTACTTAAAATTATGTGATGAACATTTGGGAATATTATTCAACTGAACAAGCAGTAATCATTTCTAAAGCAAAAATATTTTCTTTTTTTATGTTTTAAAATGCACTAAGACCCCCAAATTTTTACAAGCAAGGTCCTTCCTTAGAGGCTTCCAACTGTATTTCTTTCAATCCTAGGAGATAGTGAACTAAAAGGAAATATAAATGGAATACATAGGCTGCATTCCTTACTCTTTATTTCCCTTTCCCTAGGAGAGAGAAAAATAGTAAGAGAAATTGTTGAAAATTATAGTTAAAATTGTAATGAAAAAATTTGGTTCTTGGTCAAAAAACAAAAAACACTCATCTACAGTTATATGAACATTTATTACATACATCATAAGCTCCAGCCTTGATCTGCTGGTAGAGTCTGTGTTGATCTTCATCCCAGAAGGGTGGATATCCCACCAGAAGGATATAGAGAATGACACCTGGACAGAATGAACATATTAACATAATGTTTAATCATTCAGGCAACAGTAAGTTAAATGTGGCAGATCCACAATGACACTAAGCCACACCCATTCAAAGAGGAAACTGGGTATTTGGAAAACTTCAGAAAGACATTCTCTGATCTACTCTGAAGCATTCGGTGGAGGGTGAATTCTCCTGTTCTTATGCTCAAGAACTCTGATAATATGTGGCAGTTTGAAACATAAACCAAAGAATTCTATGTGCACTTGAAAAGAATGTGTATTCAGTTGCTTTTGGATGGGATATTACATATATATGTTATGTTTAATGGGTCGTTCAAGGACAGTATTTTCTTGTTAACTTTAGGACCAAAGAATTCTAAAGAGGTACAGCAGGTCAATACCTAAAGATGAAACTCATCTGTCATTGGGATGGCATATTCTTTGGTGTCCCTGATTAAGACTTGTTTTGTGGTCTATGTGCACTCAAGAAGAATGTGTATTCTGTTGCCTGTGGATGGAATATTCTGTATACATCTGTTGAGTTCATCTGGTCTAACATGTTTAAGGTCAATATTTCCTTATTGATTTTCTGTCTGGATGATCTATCCACTGATGTAAATAGGGTATTAAAATCCCCTACTATTATTGTATTGCTATCTATTTCTCCTTTTAAGTCTGTTAATATTTGTTTTATATATTTAGATGCTCCTATATCGAGTGCATAAATATTTACAAATCCTCTTGTTGGATTGACCTCTTTAACATTATGTAATGCTCATTTTTGTCTCTTATTTCAGCCTTCATTTTAAAGCCTGTTTTGTCTGATATAAGTATAGTTACTCCTGCTTTCTTTAGGTTTCCATGTGCATGAAAGATCTTTTCCCATCCCTTCACTTTAAGTCTATGTGTCCTTACATCTGAAGTGAGTCTCTTATAGGCAGTGTAAATTTAGTTTTTTTTTTTTTTAAATCCATATAGCCACTCTATGTCTTTTGATTGGAGAATTTAGTCCATGTACATTTAAAGTAATTATTGATAGATATGTACTTTTGTCATTTTTGTTAACTGTTTTCTGTTTTTGTAGTTCTCTTTGTTCCTTTCTTCTTCTCTTGCTCTCTTCTTTTGTGGTTTGATGACTTTCTTTAGTGGTATACTTCTATTACTTTCTCTTTCTCTCTTCTGTATTTACTGTAAGTTTTCACTTTGTGGTTACCATGAGGCTTACATATAACAAGTTCTAATTATAACAGTCTACTTTAAGTTGATAACTTAAGTTTGATCCTATTCTAAAGTTTACATTTTTACTCTTCCCCATCCCATGCTTTGTTTTTGATGTCACATTTTACTTCTGTATCCTGTAGCTAATTATCACAATCATAGAATTTTTACTACCTTGTCTTTTAACCTGTATACCAGCTTTATAATTGATTAATCCACTACTTCTGCTATGTATTTACCTTTCCAGTGAGATTTATTCTTCCATATGTTTTCTTGTTACCAATTAGCAAAGTTTCTTTTCAGTTTAAAGAAATCCCTTTAACATTTTTTATAAAGCTGGTTTAGTTTGATGAACACCTTTAGTTTTTGTTGTATGAAAAACTCATGATCTCTCCTTCAATTTTGAATGACTTTGCTGGGTAGAATATTTGTAGTTGGAAGTTTTTTTTCCTTTCAGCATCTTGAATGTATTATGCCACTCCCTCTGGCCTACAAAGTTTCTGCTGAAACACTTATTATGGGGGTTCCTTGGTATACAACTAATTGTTTTCTCCTTATTGCTTTTAATATTTTCTCATCTTTAACTTTTGACATTTTAATTATAATGTGTCTTGATGTGGGTCTCTTTGATTTCATCTTATTTGGAAATCTCTGGGCTTTCTGGATCTGGATGTCTGTTTCCTTCCCCACTTCCTTCCTTAACTTCCTTAAGTAAGTTTCTAGCCATTATTTCTTCAAACAAGTTTTCTGCCTCTTTCTCTCCCCCTTGTGGGACCCTTATAATGTAAATGTTGGTCTGCTTGATGTTGTTGCATAAGCCCCTTAAGTTATCTTCATTTTTTTTCTTTTTCTTTCTTTTTTTTTGTTGCTGTGATTGGGCGAGTTCCACCAGCAGCTTGGATTCATGTTAACTGATCCTTCCTTCTACTTCATGTAATCTGTTGTTGAACCTCTCTAGTATGTTTTTCAGTTATTGTATTCTTTAGCTCTGTGACTTCTATTTTGTACTTTCTTTTATTTTCCATCTCTTTATTGAAGCTCTCACTGTGTTCATCCATTCTTTTCCCATATTCGATGAACATCTTTATTAGCATTATTTTTAGCTCTTTATTAGGTAAATTATTTATCTGCATTTTATTAAAGATTTTTTTGTAAGGTTTTATCTTATTCTTCCATTTGGAACATATTCTTTTTTTTTTCCTTCATTTTACTTGACTCTGTTGATCTATAGAGTAGATAAAACAACCCCCTCTCCTTGTGTAGAAGATGAACCTTGTCTTTCAACTCTGCTCCACTCTGTCATTTCTCAAACTTTTGTTCTTATCCAAAAAGCCTACTATATTTTTATTAGCTCTCAGTAGGTAAGGATGTGCCAAGACCTGTCAGTGACTGAAAGGGGAGGAGCTCAATACCTAGATTCACACTGTTTGGAAGCCAGACTCTCAGGTAGCAGCTTTTAAAATTATGCAAATATGTACAGTCCTGTGGGACCACAACCATAAGCCCCACCAACCAAGCAATTTGGTGGCCCCCTGCGTGACAGTCACAAAAACTGGGGCTGCAGATGAATGTATAGTTTCTTTTCTGAGAGATACTAGCAAAGCTGGAACAAGGCAGAAGGAGAGTGCCAAGATGGTGCCTACAACCTACATTCCTTGAGAGTAGCTCTTAATATACTAGATATGTACCAACCCTGAAGCCTGCTCCTCAGGGCAAAGTTCTAGGACAAGCCAAGAGGCCCCCTTCACAGAAAGACTGGAAGGAGGTATGCCTCAATCTGCTAACTGTGCAGTGTCCTGGGGTGGCAGCCTGCCAAGATTTTTTTCTTCAATTACCAGTCCTGTGGGACCCAGGAATGCAAGTCCCCCTGACCAGCCATGCAATCAAGGGGCATACCCTGGGGGGAAGATGGAAAAACAGGGCAGCAGATGTAAAAACCAGGACATCGGCTTCGTGCAAAGCTTCCCTCCAGGAGACATTAGCGCTCTGGAGTGTGGCAGAGAGAGAGCATGAAGTGAGCAGTGCTCTTTGAGGTCTCTTGAAAGATTATAGTCATTCCTTAGATGTATGTTTAATTGGAAACCTGCCCCTCAGGCTGCAGCCATAGTTTTTAGTTAATAGGCCCCCTTCACAGAAAGACCAAGCTCCTAGGTCTGTTGCCTCTCACTGTGCAGTGGAGGTGGTGGCTACTTAAGAACTATCTCTCCATCAGTTACAGTCCTATGGGACCCACAAGCAGAAGCCCCACTGACCAACAGAGCTGGCAATGTGGAGGTGTTGCTTGGCAGCAGGTGCAAAAATCAAGGAGCCAGACACGGGTATGAGCTCCTTTCTGGGTGATGCTGATTATTACAGGCTCATGAGATGAGGAACACAAGCCCCCCTGGCCTCCAGAGCCAGCCAGTCAGGAGGCATTCCCTGAGCAGCAGCCACATGTAAAATCTTCCTTCCTGGTGCTCTGGAGCACTCTGAAGGGAGAGCATGGACACAGCACTTGCCAGTATCTGCCCCAGAGGATACTCCAGTAGGCTCCCAGATATGTGTGTTAAATTAGATGCCTGCCCTACAGGCTGACACTGTAACATAAGCAGGTCAACCTCCTTCACTTTATGTCTGGATGCAATCAAGCTGCCTCTGAGCTAGGCCCTCTGGCAGGTATGTCCAAGCATCTAGGCCTGTTAAGAGCTGTCTTTTAGATCATGATACTTTTGTGCCTCTGGGACATGAGTCCTACTGGTTTTCAAAATTAGATGTTTTGGGTGCTCATCTCTCAGGTGCAGGTCCTAAAAGTTGACGTGCTGGATGTGGGACGTGCTTCTCCTTTACTCAATAAGGAGAAGGCCTGGTTTTGAGTTATGGTCAGGGTTTATTGTGAGATTGTGTCCCAGCCTCTCCTACCCACTTCAGTGTGGTTTTCTTTTGCCTGATGTATAATCAACACTCAGCCAGGCTTTAGTTTTTTTTGTTTTTGTTTTGTTTTTTTTTAAGAGGAAACTGTTCCATATGAAGCTGTAGAGTCAGTGTGTCCATGGGGGGAGGTGAGTTTGGGATCTTCTAACCTTGCCATCTTGAACCAATCCCCTTCTACTTTTGAAAAGTTTATTTGGCCTGCGTGAGGTCTTTAGTTTCTGCCACTGCTCTGACTGCTACTGTTTTTTTTGTTTTATTTTGCCTTTTTTTTTTTTTTTTCTGCTTTCCCTTAAACAATGGAAACGAAGGATAGATGGGTAAGACAGGTAAAACTCTGCCTGGCATGGCCTAAGATTCCTTTTTTCTCTTACCAGTGTTGATCTCTTAGGTTTCTTTAGCTTTTCTTTGTTAGGGAGATCTAGCCTTGCTCTTGTCCATCAGACTTGACATCTTTATGTAACGGACACTGTGGCAGTGAAAATGGCTTTTAAACAGTGGTTTAATCACCCTAGACTAGATAGCCTGCTTCGGGAAGTTCCAGTTCAAAAGCAAATTCTTAAATTCATGTGAATCACAACCAATTTAAACAACAATGTATTTAAACATTCTTAAATAAAAACCTAACAAAGCTTTAAAATCAAAACTGAAAATTACTTTACTATAGTGGAGTTATAAAGAAAAAAAAGACCATGAAAAAAAATTTCAATATATTGATACCTCCTCTTCACAACATAAATATTTTTCCATCTTTCACTACATCATAAACTTAATGTACATTAATTTAATTATTTTTGTATCATTTTTACTATCTGATGTAACAGATGCATCTAATGATGATGATGATGAGTATCTGTGTTTGTGTTCCCAGGACACAGGTGGAAGAAAGG